GGACTTTTTCCTATACATAGTATAGAGTAGTAGGAGTTCCAATATATGTTATCAGGATTTCGGATGACTAAAACATCTAGGAAAGCTAAAGTATTATTTGCTTCTAACTCCATCGTGATTTGTATTTTGAAGCTTATGGAGTTCAGGTGGTCTAAAAATCCAGTTGCTTTGTCAGACGGTAAAATTTTGGAAGTGTCGTCTACGTACCGCTTGTAGAATCTTGGATTTATAGGAGCAGTACGAAGGGTTTCTCCTCAAAGTCCTCCATGATATATGTCGGTGACTATAGGAAATACAGGTGAGCCCATTGCCACACCATCAACTTGCTTGTAGAACTCTTCCTTCTACAATAGATAGCCAGATGTGAAGCAGTGTTTGAGTAATACTGCATATTCTGCAGGCATGTTGTTATCTTGTAGCTTCCTAGTTACATTTGAGAAGCAGTCTTCAATAGGCATGCATCTGAATAGTGACTGAACACCAAAACTGTCCATAGTTTCATTGTCAGCGAGATGTAGGTCTTTTATCTCACTAACAAAATGGTGTGAATCCTTTGTGTGCGTTCTGGTATATCATTTCGGCGGTGACAGTATTTTTGCCTAGTGTTGCATCTAAAAGTAATATTATTAATTAAAAAACCATACGGTACGTGTTTCAAATTTAGATGTACTTTATAATAATAATAATCCAGTTAGCTTCTCTGGTCATCGGAGGCGACTGGGACTCCGTGACGGATCGCTCCGGGCTCAGATGCAGAAGGCGGTGCTCCTTGATACTGCCCGCATCGTCCGCCGGTTTCTTTCCCTTTCCCCATAACCCTTGGCCGTTTGGTCTCCCCTGCCGAGGGCTTCCATCTGGTTGGGCTTTTATTTATTTATGTATTTTTATATTTATTTTATTTTATTGATATTTATGTATATTTATCTTTTCATTTTCATTTATAATTATATATCCCAACCAGATGAGAAAACTATATAGATACCCCACACAATAATAATAATAATAGGATATTACTGAAGTTCATGTAACACTAGAATAACATTAATCACATTATAGCTTTCACTTGTTTTATGATTTATAAATCCGTTAAAAATAGTTTAATTTCGACGTGTATCATTCGTCTAAATATTAGAATATCACGTTTCAATCAACCACTTAATGCTATTACTTATTGTGTAATCACCATTAGTATTATACTTTTTTTTAAGTGTAAAAGTCCATACTAAACCTGGCAAGTATAGAGATGGTATAGCGGAATCCAACAACCTTCTACGGTTTTTCATAATATGAAGATTGTCTTCTGTGAAGTGTCTTGAGGATAGCACACTATTTTTGGTGGAAAACCATTGGTCCCCTCGACATGTAGCGTCGATCCACATCTTTTCCTTTCCGGGCATTTAGGAAACCTATTACATATTATAGGTACTACAATTATACGCCACTATTTGTATAAAGTAATGACTACAAAAAAAGTAAACGATGACCAAACAAATATCGACTTATAAATCACAACACTATCGATACACGTGCTGTCGTTAGACAAGGACAACTATTTTAATTTACGTAATGAGTGAAAGGGACATTTCAAAAAGACATCAACGGGTGCTCAAATGATATCACTTTGCAACATTAATAATCCAGTGTAAGTTGAACTCCGGTGCATTTGAAATAGGTTAACGTGATAAGAATAAAATTTACTTACCGATGAAATATTATGCCATCTTTTTGTTAACTGGATGTCTTAGCTGACTTGCCACACCATTTCACTGCATAGGAAGCCATTTGTAATGTATTTTGGATACTAAAATTATTTTTAAATTTTCAAAAACTCGGACGTGCCTACGGGTCACAAACTTGGTCGTTACTGATATCGTGATTCTTAGCGTCACTTCATATGCTAGTTACAGCAAGCATGTGTTGCGCGCGTTTGTGACCCTGTATGCGGAATCTATTAGGAGGTAATCTGTGCTTCACGCATACACATTCATCAATGTGTTCACCTATGTGCAGACAATAATTTACAAAACTATGTATTGACATATCCTAACTTTACATCTTCACTGGGTGAAGCTCTGAAGGTGAGGTACTAGACTTTCTGATCTTGAACTACTTTAATGAAACGGCTTTTAAGACATAAAATTGTAATCTTCAGTGTATATCATTGAATTTATCCTATCTTATAATATAAAGCTTAATGAAAATTCTTTTTAATAAATTGTGTATGATTTTGAAGATATTCTCGGATTAAAAATTTATTATAAAAGTTGTAAATATCTAATAATAATATACTTAATAGAATAAATACATAATGCATAACCACTCACGCTTGTCTCCCCGAGGGGTAGACAGAGGTAGAGACTACGGACTTCCATTTGTCAGGATCCTAACACATCTCTCTCGCCTCCTTTACATGCACATACACATACACATTACATAAACCTACGCGTGCGATTCGTGGTGACTTATATGCTCATATAAGGCTCAGAGCCGTGCCGAACACTGTATGGCGCAGAGAGTAGCTTGAAGGAACAGGAAACATTATTATTTCAGTGCTGCGATGAACCTTGTGAAGCTAGATGGCTTGCAGGATATGAAGACTGCAGACGATATCTGCTCGGGAGCGAATGGGTGGGGTATTCTATGACGATGATGAAGCTTGAAGTTTCCGAAGGTTGTTGGTTGCGTGTTCAGATCACGTCGGGTGGTCACCACTGTGGTCGTGGAAGGAAAATGGGAGATCTCCCGCCGGGCAAGGTGTTCTGCCCGGGGAGCGGCCAACGCTCCGTGTGATAGTTCGGAGATGTTCTATATATACTGTGGATGAGTCGGAATGTAGATAGCGAGAGTTAGGCTTCGGTGTATTTCGCTTGTGGCGTGACGACAGCGCCCCCCACACAGTCATTTCGAACTAGGGATGAGCAAGTGATAAAAATATGTCGTATTGGCGGAGCTTCTGAAAGCAGGTGGAACACCGGTACTTGAAGTCCTTCAGAAGCTCTTCAATTCCGTCCTCCATGGTGGCACTACTCCAGAGGCGTGGAGCAGAAGTGCGGTGGTCTTGTTCTTTAAGAAAGGCGACAACGCTCTCTTGAAGAACTACAGACCGATTTCCCTTCTGAGTCGCGTTTACGTGCTGTTTTCGAGAGTCATTACGAATCGTCTCGCACGCAGACTCGACGACTTCCAGCCTCCCGAACAAGCCGGTTTCCGAAAAGGCTTCAGTACCATAGACCACATACATACCCTGCGGCAGATTGTACAGAAGATTGAAGAGTACAATTTGCCACTTTGCCTGGCGTATGTGGACTATGAGAAAGCCTTTGATTCCGTCGAAATTTGGGCGGTGCTGCAGTCCCTTCAGCGGTGCCAAGTTGACTGTCGGTATATCGAAGTGCTGAAGTGTTTGTACAGTAGGGCTACGATGGCTATCCGACTACAGAACCAGAGCTCGAAACCTATCCAACTGCAGAGAGGTGTAAGACAGGGTGACGTTATATCCCCGAAACTCTTCACCGCTGCTTTGGAAGACGTTTTCACGCTACTGGACTGGAAAGGATACGGTATTAACATCAATGGCGAGTACATCACTCACCTTCGTTTTGCCGACGATATAGTTCTTATGGCAGAATCGCTGTAGGACTTAAGCACTATGCTCAATGACCTCAATAGTGCCTCCCAACGGATAGGTCTTAAGATGAACATGGACAAAACAAAGATCATGTTTAATGTCCATGTCACACCTATGCCGGTAGTTGTTGGGAGCACTATGCTCGAAGTTGTTGACGAGTACATTTACCTGGGACAAATAGTCCGACTAGGTAAGTCCAACTTCGACCGAGAGGTCAATCGACGGAATCAACTCGTCTGGGCAGCGTTCGGGAAATTACGACACATCTTCTCGTCAGGTATACCTCAATCTCTGAAAACTAAATTATACAACCAGTGCGTGTTGCCAGTGATGACTTACGGATCTGAGACGTGGTCCTTCACTGCTGGCCGTACGAGGACGCTCAAGGTCGCTCAGCGAATTATGGAGAGGGCTATGCTCGGAGTTTCTCTGCGTGATAGACTCAGAAATGAGGATATCCGCAGTAAAACCATAGTGATCGTCATAGCCCAACGGATTAGAAAGCTGAAGTGGCAATGGGCCGGCCATATAGCTCGAAGAACCGATAACCGATGGGGAAGAAAGGTTCTCGAGTGGCAGCCTTGTACCGGTAGGCGTAGTGTAGGGCGACCCCCACTAGATGGAGTGACGACCTGGTAAGATATGCAGGAAGTCGATGGATGCAGGTGGCTCAGGACCGTGCTTTGTGGCATTATTTGGGGGAGGCCTATGTTCAGCAGTGGACTTGTGAAGGGCTGTGATGATGATGACTGGGAATGAGGTTATCACTTCCAAGCTATTTCCTAAATGAGTTAAATAAGTAATGTACCACCTGTGTTTTTTTTGGTATAATGTTACTTTGAACTCCGCTGGTTTTCTTGATGGTTTTTTTATAGGATAGGGTGACAAACGAGCACTCAGTCCACCTGATAGTAAGTGGTTGCTGTGACCCGCAGACATCTACATCTATCCTCGATTACGAATCAAAATGCAGATGCGTTGTCACACGTAATGACTAAGTTGGAATGCCTCATTTCCAGTAAAAAAGGATCTTCGGTTCTCTACACTCACCATACGAAACACAGCAGCATTAAGCTACTTTTTGACGCTGGTATTCTGTGAGAGCGTGGTCCTTCCCCGGTCGAGCCGACCCATTCGTGCTACAACTATACTACTAATGTAAATGCAGCATAGCTCTACCACGTAAAAAATATGGTTATATATATTGGAAGGTTCTTTTTAGAACAAGTTTTTGTTCTAAACCAGTGGTAAAAGTAAAAAAAAATGTTTTAATTAAAATTATTTGTAATCTATATTCAATAAAATATTGTATTCTGTTCTATTTTATTTAATTTATATTTCATAGACTAAATCTGTTTTTTCTTATTTTTAGGACACAGACAACCTATGTATTGCTGCTGCCGATGATAGGAGTGAACCAGAGAATACACTTAGTTGTCTTCAAAGCACTTTAAAGTTCCTAACAGTTTTAGTTAATTTGGGTAATTAATTCATTTGTATTAATCCCAGTAAGAACTATTAACCAAGAAACAAAAATAAACTAATAATATAATAATCTCTCCCACCTGTGACTCAAAGGTGTAGCCAGAAACTATGGACTTCCATTTGGCACGATTCTTACACTCCTCTCTCACTTTTTTCACATCCATATATGTACGTGTGTTTTGTATAACGAGTTCCTAGAACCGATGACCCTATATTTTACATTTAAATTAATTATACAGCCCTACAAAGCTTTATGTGAGAGTACAATTACCTATTGCACATGTTCCTGGGTTGGAGCAGTTAAGGCGTTCTTCCTGGACTTATAACGTGCACAAAGAGCCGTTTTAAAGGTTGCATTGCATCTACCTTTTAGATATCCGACTATATCGATTTACGAGAAAACCAAATTCCTGCCAGCTAGAAAGCTATTTATTCATAAATGTCTTAGAAGTTATCACCGATTGGATATTCCAAATTTACCGATAAATAAGAAAAGAATAGACAGATGCTTTCATAGCAATTAAAAGTTTTTTTTTTTTTTGAAAAGAAGTACAAATACTTAGCACCATATTTATGTAACAAAATTATAGGTGTATATAATTTATAAGTTAAGGCCGAATACGACGCGAATGACCTTGCTCGTTTCGCAGCAAACCACGCGCCGCCAGTACGCTTTGTTTGTATAGAAATGTATAATATAATCAAAGCCCGTACGGGCTTTGATTATATTATATTTGACTGAGCTAGCTCAGTATGCAGGGTAATGAACAACACAGAGAGCATTGCTTACTTCTTAAATAAATCTTTCTTATTTATAATATTAGTTCCTATAGATTATAAATTCTGTACTTTATTCGTTATAAAATATTGTTCGAAAAGTTATTGAATTGATAACGATTTTTTTTCTTAATTGGTGCATCGTACGTAATGAACCTCATATAACTGAAAATGTTTGTTCTTGTGAGTCTTACAAGATGCCGTAATGCAAATTGCATAAATAATAACGAAAAAAACTAAAAAGTCTGTGATTGCCCCATAGTGGGGATAGGTACTGTGTATGTAAATTCTCACAAGACTACTCCGACTTAATTATGTACTTACCCCATGCTTTCGGACAATATATTGACTATGACATTATTTGCGGTCTCTGTGCTTGTACTACTCTGTACATTATTTTCCGACTGGGTCTTGATATTTACATTTTTAGTGTTTCTCACTTGAAACTAGAAAAGTATAAATGATCAGTTTGGCTAATGTAAATGAGTAAAAATGCAACCTATTACGCAGCCTCAAACAAAAAATTACCTTACAAAAATATAAGTATTAACCTCAAAATACAACATTCGAGCAGCGTTCATGCGATAAACTCTCTTTGTTTTACCACTTAGGTAACATTTATTTCTTTTCCTACCCATATTTACATTTATAGTCACTTAAACGCGTATAAAACACTAAATTAACGATTTTCGCTACAGACACTTCGACTGTTGTTACCTTACGTCACACGTCGAAGCGCCTGGTAATTTATTACGGCAAACTTTTATCTGGCAATATACGATATTATTATTAGGTGTTTTTAATTAAAACGAATTATGTTAATAAATAATATTTTGTATCGAAAATAAAGATAGCAGGCACCTTCAGAATCACAATACAAACATTTTTACGTAAAAGAATTTTTCCTAAATTAAAATTCACAGAGTTTTGGAAGAACAATAATTTTATATATCATTTCTTAACATTTTTTATTTGTTGGTATATTCATTTATTTTAAAATGACTGTTACCTTGTAAAGGACCCGAACAAACCTACAAAAATGTTTTAAAGCTTAGAATAACTTCAGGTCAAAGTTCTAGTCAAGAGAAATACATTAATTTTCGCCAGTTCTGTTCGTATTCGGCCTTAAGCTAAAAAAAGATAACAACTATGATATCAAAAAGAAAACAACTATGATATCAAAAAGAAAATAATATTGTGGCTTAACAATTTTGGTTACCATGAAACAGAACCACTTTTGCCCTACAATTAACATGATATCCATGGTTCAAAACACACACACACACACACACACACACACACACACACACACACACACACACACACACACACACACACACACACGCACACGCACACGCACGCGCGCGCGTGCACATACATTAAGAGTCAAGGACTGTAAATTTCCGGGGTTGCGGGCTGTTCGAAAGAGATACCGCGGCTCCGGAACGTAAGGGCACTGAAGGAACACGGATAGTTTTTAGTCAGTAAAAGTCTGACACTCCCTTACGCTCCACCCAGAGCGAAAGGGGTCATTAGATGATTTTCCATCCGCAAAAAAAAAAAAAATGGGACTGTAAATTTATTTGTTAAAATGTGTTAGTGAAATAAAGAATTTTGAATAAAACTATATATACCGATTTTATCGCGTTTAGTTAAGATAAAAATATCTTAATTAAACGCGATAAACAACTATGATATATATATATATATATATATATATATATATATATATATATATATATATATATAATATTATGGCTTAACAATTTTAGTTACCATGAATTAACATGATAACCATGTTTACACACATACGCGCGCGCGCACACGCACACGCACACGCACGCGCGCGCGCTCACGAGTACACACTGGCATTTCTGTACTATTAATATTTTAATTTTCGCTTTATTAATGGATTTTTTTAATTTTGTCAACATATAAGTAATCTGTACAGGTATTTTTGTGAGAAGAAGCTGGCTCCTGAGATACGGGTTCCACATACATTAAGAGTCAGGGACTGTCAATTTATTTGTTAAAATGTGTTAGTGAAATAAAGCATTTTGAATAAAACTATATATTCCGATGTTATCGCGTTTAATTAACTTATTTTTACTTATTTTTAATTCAAGATGTTTCGGGTGCTTTACAGTACCCATGTTCACGGGGGGGGGGGGGATACTGAGAGGTTTTACGTCCCAATGTCGTAGTTAGTCCGGCTACCTTCACTTTTTGAATATAAATTTTTGGTCCGATCTACGCAAAACAAAAAGTAAAAAATTAATAACTGACAAATGACTAAAAAATATCATTTAATTTCAGATTCATATTCACTAAGATGTCACCATTATCAGTTGATCTGTCTGTGTATGAAGACAAGTAGAATTTGCTTGCCCGAGTCCCTTGAGCTGCCATCTATGCATTTTAAAAAACATATTTATTAAATTTAAATATTAACAACAGCTGATTTTTTAAGGAGCCGTGGTAACTCAGATGGTTAACGCTCGCTGTAAATATAACAGAACGCGAGTAACCCGGGTTCGATCCCCGCCGGCACCAATGAAATTGTTAATTGCAATTTTAAGTGCTGATTTGCCACGTGCTCGGTGGTGAAGGAAAACATCGTGAGGAAACCTGCATGTCTGAGGAATAGGAAAGGAAATATTTCGAAGACATGTGAAGTTCGCCAACACGCATTGCGGCAGCGCGGCGGACACTTCCTTGTCCTAAAACCCTCTCGGAAATGAGGCGAGGCCTGTGCCCAGCAGTGGGATGTATATAGGCTGTAACTTTACTTTTTTTACTTTTAACTTTCCAATGTGTCTTTAGATTAGTTTAAAATCCTAGAATCAATCAATGAAGTATAATATAATAATACAGTCTTATCTTTCAAAAGTATACGAAGTTCTTATCTTATATCTTCATATTCTGTTCATAAATTACAACTGATCAAAAGTCCACTGCTGTTGTTGCAGGCGTCCTTCACAAATTGCCACAAAGCACAGTCCTCAGCCACCTGTCTCTCCCTGCATGATTTGTCAGGTAGGCACGTTAATTGCACACTTTAATTCCTCCCTCACCTTTCCACCATCGGACGACCAGGCAGTCGGCGGGTCTTCACCCCTTTGTTCTCGATATTCCACGCATCAGAACCAAACGGTTTACTTCGACTTTTTTTAATGCGTACAGCAAAGGAGTGGAATAATTTGCCGGCGTCTGTCTTTCCGTCAGAATATAATCTAGGCGTCTTCAGGGCAAGAATGAATAGGCTTTTGTAACGCTAAGACTGTTCGATTTACCGTCTAAGCCGCTAATCATAATTCATAATCTCACCTCTTACCACCAGGTGGAATTTTGGTCAAGCACTGGCTTACAAAAAGTTAAAAAGCTCTTTCTAGTGCCTACTCTCGAAACTATGCTTGCTAGGTTGAGACTGACATCTGAAAATCCGTCACCCTATGAGTTGTCAATTCTTTGCCATTGGCGATCCTCCTGCGACTTTAGCTGCTAGCTGTCGATTTTCTGTTACCCTCGTTATGTTGTGGAAATTCTTGTTACAAATTTTATTACATCGAGAAACAAGCGTAACCCTCAGTCTCCTCCGTCATACGGCCAGTGGTGTACACGGTCATGAACATGTCTCAAATTTAAAAGCGTTTATTTGCATAGTGTGTTTCTTTATATAAAAAATGTTCAACTCACGGAAATGGTAATAATAAGACAATAGAAATGAATTAGCGCTCGATTTCTTCCAAAACCGATATCGCCACATCTTACCGTACTATAAACATACGCAATGCACAATGATATCTAATGTTTCACATTACATTGCTTGGCGAGTTTGTTAACGTTGCGTGAGTTAAGGCTGAGCACCCCTGCCAAATCTCATTCGTTCGCACATCATCAACAATCCCATCTGGGTCAAGCGTATGCAGTAAATCTCTCTCTCTCTTCCTGGCTATGTGTCCCACATGGTGGTGGGGTCAGCCTTTCTTGTCTTACGCCTCCACTTCGCTCTATCCTCGACTTCATTTTCGGAGACTTCGCACTCTCTCATGTCCTTTACCACTACATCTTTCCATCGTGTTTTGGGTCTGCCCCTGGATCTTCGACCTGGGATGGAAAGTTGTAGTGCCAAGTTCCCTACGTAGTCGGGTGGCCTCCTCTTCACGTGCCCATACCATCGCAGCCTACTTTCCTGCATCTTGTCAGCGATGTCGCGCACGCCCAAGCTTCCTCGCACGTACTCGTTGCGGATTTTGTCGAGCTTGGTAACGCCGCACATCCACCTCAGCATCTTCATCTCGGCAACTTGCATGGTATGCACATTCTTTTGAGTTACGGCCCATGTTTCACTGCCATACAATAGGACTGGTCTGATGATGGTCTTATAGATTAAACCTTTAAGTTTAACCGGCATTCTCCTATCGCACGTGACACCAGTCACTTCTCGCCACTTTAGCCACGCTGCGGCTATTCGGTGCTGAATGTTAATTTCCAAGTTCCCAGAACCGCTCATCATACTACGCAGATACCTGTATTGATCACACGATTTGACCAATTGTCCATCGATGGAAATCGGACTGTTGTTTGTATCTGGGTCGTTGAAGGACATGAACTGAGTCTTTGCCACACTCAGCACTAGGCCACCGGTCTGTAACTGATGTTTCCACGACACGAGTGCCTCTTGCAAGTGAGCGAGGCTGTCTGTGCAGATGGCTACGTCGTCAGCGTATATAAATGTCCACGTTGCTGAATTCTGTGCCGCTTCAGTGAGTGAGTCCAGAACCAAACAAAACAGAAAAGGGCTCAATACAGAACCTTGGTGCACTCCTTCTGTGACCGCTATCGACTTGGTCTCACCCACCACCGTCCGAACCATTGATCTCGCATCTCTGTACATGTCGGCAATGATGTTAACGTAGTGTTCGGGGACATTTTTCTTACGAAGGCTCCACCAGATCGTATCCCTTGGGACACGATCAAAAGCCTTTTCCATGTCCAAAAATGCGACATATAATGGTCGGTTTTTCGCGCGATACTCTTCGACAATCGTGTTAAGAGCAAACATCGGATCCGTGGTAGACAATCCAGGTACGAAGCCATAGTGGTTCTTAGGCAGCTCGCACTCGGATCTTATGCGGCTGTCAATTACCCTCTCATAGAGCTTCATGGTGTGACTGAGGAGCTTGATTCCCCGGTGGTTGTTGCACTCGTACTTACTACCTTTTCCCTTGCAGATGGGAACTATAGTGCTCAAGCTCCACGCCTTTGGCATTTTTGAAGAGAACAACATACAGTTAAAGAAATCGGTTAGCAGTACGAGTCCGCGTGGACCTAAGCATTTCCAAGCTTCCAATGGTATTCCGTCAGGTCCAATGGCTTTCTTGTTGGACATTTTGTGTAGGGCTTTCTTTACCTCATCAGGATGTATTGGAGGTATAAGTCCTGCATTCACTTCCAATCCAGGAAGTTGTGTGGCAGCTAGATGGGGTAGGGATAGTAGCTGTTCGTAGTAATGATGCCAAGCTGTTATGACATCACGGTCTTTATATAACAAGTCGCCATTTGGACCTTTGACAGTTTTACACCTGGCCGGATCCTTTGTGCTTTGACAACGCTGTTTTGCTAGCTTATATATACACTTTTGGCCTTCTTTTGTGTTTAACTTACTATAAAGCGTTTTCTGGGACTGCGCACGTTCTCTGGCTATAACTTTCTTGGTAACTTTTTTAACTTCTTTGTACTTTTCCCGATATTCTGGGGTTAAAGTGGACTGCCAGGTCTTAAAAGCATCTTTCTTTTCCCGTATTGCATCTTGCACCTTCTCTGTCCACCACCACGTCTCTCTGTCGGATTTTTTACCGCTTTTTGTACGGCCAAGAATGTTGTTTGCAGTAGTTATAATGGACTTACGTAAATGTTCCCATATGTTGTCAATATCTGATTTAACATCAACCTTTAAATCAGCAAGATGTTCACAGAACTCGGGAATTTTCTCACCTTTTAGGTTCCACCATTTGGTGAGTTCAGGAATTTGAGTTGGTTTTTCCTTGGGATGTCGTTTGAATAGCACGTCCATTACAACAATACGGTGTTGGGGGGCGACGCATTCTCCCGGAATAACCTTACAATTTGTTACACGGCCAATGTGAGCTCGGTTGATTAGTATGTAGTCAATCTGTGAAGATGTTTGGCCGCTTTTATACGTGATCAGATGTTCGATCTTTTTAGCGAAGAAGGAATTGGCAATAGCAAGATCGAAGGCTGCTGCCGTGGAGAGAATGACTTTACCAGCATCGTTTAGTGTTTCGTATGCGTAACCTCCGTGCACCCTTTTGAAAGCGCTGTTTGCTTCTCCGATGTGGCCGTTTAAATCACCTCCCAGTAAAGTAGTTTCTTTAGGAGATATTAATTGAAGAGTGTATTCTAGGGAAGTCCAAAAATTGTCTTTCTCTGCTTGGCTACAACCCACTTGGGGAGCATATGCAGCTACAATATTTAGTACCTCACCTTCCACCAGTACCTTTATTGACATGAGTCTGTCGTTAACGGTTACGGTTGACCTCCAGGATGTTTTCAAGATGATCTTCTTTGACAGCAATTGCTACGCCATTCCTACCATGCTTTGCACCTACGTACATAAGTTTGTAGCCCTCTCCGATATTACGGGCTTTGGATCCAGTCCATCGAGTCTCTTGTAGACATATAAAATCTACCCTTCTGCGCTTGAAAAGAGAGGCAAGTTCCTTAGTCTTCCCCGTTAATGTTCCTACATTTAAGGTAGCGAAGCGAACTTTTAGGTACGAAGCGTATGCAGTAAATAAGCTTAGTAAATTGTTTTGTTGCATATAATTTAAGTATAAATAGACAATTGACGTGGTAGAGCCATGCTGCAGTTATATTAGTAGTATAGTTGTAGCACGAATGGGTTGACCGGGGAAGGACCACGCTCTCACAGAATACCAGCGTGAAATTGTAGCTTAATGCTGCTGTATTTCGTATGGTGAGTGTAGAGAACCGGAGACCCTTTTTACTGGAAACGAGGCATTCCATCTTAGTCCTCACGGGTGACAACGCATCTACATTTTGATTCGTAATCGAGGATAGATGTAGATGCCTATGGGCCACAGCAACCACTTACCATCAGGTGGACTGTGTGCTCGTTTGTTACCCTATCCTATAAAAAAAAATTGTTATCAGTTAATATCGAATATTGTAGTAATAAACTTCTTACTGTAACTCTGTCAAAATAAATTAATATATGTGTTTTTATTGAAGTTTAGTAAGTAGTTTAGTTTTATCTTAATTCGTGCGTCGCGTATTATTACGGTAGAACAAAAGCAGCAATGGTAATTGTACAATACGAAAAGTAATAAATGAAAGTTGACAAAGGTAAATATCATAGTAAAGTATTCATCTAGGTGTAAATTAGTTAAAACAGTGATAATAATTAGTAAATAATCAACTTACCGATGAAATGTTATGCCTTTATTGGTTGAATTACACGTCCTTGATGAGTTTTTACAACCGATTATGCTGCGGTTCACCATCATAAATTTATAATAACATAAATTCACGTACGACGTTCCCCACGCAATTAAATCACAAAATGGTGAATAATGTTCGTCAACACATCACATCGGTGACAAGGTCACGCGTCTATGCGACTACTATTGTCTTATTATTACGATTTCTGTGGTCCAACTAATCCTGCCGCTTCGGTTCCGTAAGTCATCGCTAGCGACATGCACTTTTTGTGAACTTTTATTTTATAATTTACACCTGGAGAAGTTCGGCAACCGCTTTTTTATAATTTCGAGATGTCAGGGAAATGCTGCTGCTCATATCCTGTTTCAGTTTCCCTCCGTCGCCTTTTACGAGAACCGGGGGATGATATGTGCTGGTGAATATTCTTACACCGCCACTACGCGATTAGCTACTTCAAATATTTTTATCGATTTTAGATGAAGGTCGCCTGCCACAGGAGCTGATATCGGTGATTAGCAACGGTTTGCCAGGTCTACTCGTGCCTCCAGCGTTAGAGCCGGGAAAAGCGGGCTTACAATAGGTAATGTTTTGATTATAGCCGTGTTTTTTATCCTATTTATTTTTGAAATTAACTATTCAGACGACATGGTGATTTTTATATTCTATAGTCCACTCAAAAGGGTAAAACAATTAAGTTATAATAAAAAAGTGAAAGCTAATTGTTACGGAAGGCAAGGGCAGCCGCCGCCCCGCACTCGACCCACGATGCGCAGCCAATCAGCGCGTGTCAAGTAGGGCTTCCAAAATTACGGATATGTTAATTACGTAACTGATTACGAATTTTGGTGGCCCAATTACGTAACTACGTAATTTCTAAGATATTTTATTCCGTAGAATTCTGACATCTATCATTTTTTGATACAATGAATGTCAGAGAGTACAAAACTTTTTGGCCGGGCACATTTTTCAATTTCAATACGTGTCTGAACATCTGAGTCTATACATACATTTTATTTGTTAGTAAATGTATCCATTTTATTAAGTGCGGTACTCTACATGGTTTTACGGCGAGTGATAATTACGTCCCTTTTCATTACAAACAGTAAAAAATGCACAAGTAAAAATAACATATTTTTATTAAAATCTTTAGTCATCATTAATACTTATATCACTATCTTCATCATCGTCATCATCGCTGACATGAATTATTAAAGAGTCTGCGACTGTGTCAATGAAATCGTCGAGAGTGCACATCTTATCTTCTTCTTTGATTGTATGGCTGATACATTCTTGCCATTTATCAGGAGTAATACTACTTATACTTTCCAGTAATAGTTTTTTAACTTCCGCCATTTTAAAACTTCTGTTGTGTCTTGCGACATGCCCCTTCACTTGAGCCCACACCAATTCAATAGGGTTGAGCTCACAATGATATGGGGGCAGTCTAAGCACAGTAATGCCTTGTGCTGTGGCCATCTCGTCTACAATACACTGTTGATATTTGTATTTCTCCTGACCCACAATTTCCAATAAATTAACTTTTAGCATTTTTTCTTCAAAATTTAAATTTTTTGAAGTCAACCACGCTTGGATATCGCCTTTTCTCCATGCACTCGTTGGTACTTTTTCGACCTTCCTCGAATGATAGGGAGCATTATCCAACACTACTACCGAGTTTGGTTTTAATTTTGGAAGTATTTTTGTGAACCACTCCTCAAATACTTCCCCAGTCATCTCCTTGTGGTAATCTGCCAAGCCTTTTTTTGCCTCAAAAACTAATAAACCATCTTCCAAAAATCCTTCTTCGCTCCCTATATGGCTAACTATAAGTCGCCCCCCTTTGCCTGTTGGTGCCTTAAGCCCTGTTGTCAAGCCATCGAGGAAAGCTTGTCGTGAAGATTGAATGTTGGTATCACACCACACTTTATTGACGGTATGTCCTGAAAATAAAAATATATTTAATATTTCACTTATACATGAGGACAGTTATATATGCATATAAATTGAAAAATATTACCTGTAAACATGGATTTCTTTATTTATTTATTCATTTTGGTAACAAAAATTTATTAACAAAGTTAATTTAAGTATTACATAAGTACAGAATTCGATTTCCGACTAATACTTTGAAGAAAAGATAGGTTATAAAAAGTTAATTACCACATAATTCAATACTTGCCTTCGTTTACCCACGTTTCATCCTGGTAATATATAAGCCTGCCTTCTCTTCTATATTGTTTAATTTGGTGCAAGTATTTTTGACGCCATAGTACTATCTCCTTGCGATCTGTTAGCGCACTTCGACGTTTGCGACTTGTGTATTTAAAATTTAAATGCTTCAATACTTTTCTTAATGTTGATTTCGACATAACAGGCATGTCTGGATCACCAGTTATCTCTTGGTGAATCTGAAATAAGCATTTACATTACAGTTAAAATGTAGACAGGCAACACAGGTTAAAGTATAGTTTTAAAACAATGGGGGATGTCAGCAACGAGGTGTTAAAGAATTAGCAATAACTTTACCTTTTCAATAGTCGGAATCTCGTTCCTGTAGAAAAACGCGTGAACCTTTCGTCGAGTTGCGGCGAAAGTGAATTCGTCAAATTTTTGTATGAAAGATAGTTGAGGTCCACTCTTTTTCGGCTTTTGAAATTCTTTTGTGTCTTTATATTCTTTGGTAATTTTATAGACACTTGACAGACCCACGCCAGTCATCTCAGAAGTCTTTTTAGCACATTCCGTTGCACTCCAATCAGTTGTTTGCGGCCAATTTTCTATATTATATTTGTAAATATTTAGAATTATGGTCTTTTCGTTGGGCGTAAAAGCACCACGAGGACGCTTCTTTCTGGGAGAAAGAAAGTCTAAGCCTTGTGCTCTGTCAGATGGGGCTGCTTCCCGGGAAGGGCCAGGTTGTGGCTCCATAACGTTTATAAAAATCAACAAACGATCACAAAACGAAAGGTCAACAAGAAAAAACTTAACAGAATAACAGAAACTTAACAAATATAACAAGATAATAACAACAAATAGCAGCAAACACCGAGAACACATGCGCATTCGAGCATTCAAAGAAGTCGAATGAAAATCAATCAATGTGACAGACGCGACGTGACAGCTAACATTTTTTTAAAAGGTTTTTTAAACCTGGAATTAGTAGACAGTGATGCCAGCTAAAGAATAAAATATTAAGTAATTAAAGTTAATTAGATATATTGTTCGTGATATTGAAATATTTGTTATTTTTGTATTAGGTGACTTGTATAAGTAAATATTTAGATTTACCTTTTTGTAGGTGAAACATAAAAAATACGTAGCATTTTATTATTTATTGCCCTCAAATGGTTCAAATTTGTCTCTTTTTCGGTGGAGAACTTTTTTAGTAGCAACACTTACGAAATGTCAGAATTCTACGGAATGAAAAATCAGAGTTTAATTACGTAATTTCTAAGATATTTTTGAAATCGAATCTTTTATTTTATAGGTAGCAATGGATAATGTAAGAAGAGTACAAGAACTTTGATTAAACTAAAGTTTTTATTGAATACCAATCATAT